AATGTGATGTGTTTAGATATTGCAGAAACACTACTTAATCTATTTTAATGTGATGTGTTTGGATATTCCAGAAACACTCTACTTAATCTATTTTAATGTGATGTGTTTGGATATTCCAGAAACACTCTTCTTAATCTATTTCAATGTGATGTGTTTGGATATTCCACACATACTCTACTTAATCTATTTCAATGTGATGTGTTTGGATATTCCACACAAACTCTACTTAATTTATTTTAATGTGATGTGTTTGTATATTCCAGACAAACTCTACTAAACTCTCTGAACACGGGCTAGGTCAATTTGACCGACCACGTGACCTCTTTGTACTCGTTTAGTCTTTATAGATCTGATACTGCTAACTTTTAATTTAGTAAGTATATCTTCACAAAATTTGGCAGTCTCTCAGTAAACATTATAAGTCTTTCACATAAAAAAAGTCATTTTTGGTGAAGTATTTTAAATAAACTAAAAATAATTTGTCTGTGAATATATCGAGAATTTGTTTTGAATAGACTGTGAGCAAAGTGATTTTCATGTTAAGATTAAAAATACTATTCTTCATCTCAAAAAAATCTCAAATGTCATTTGTGTAATCTCTAAAACCTCCTACATACATTTCAAATGTTTGTTTTCAGTAAAACTTTATATTTTATCTGTTATTTTCTCTACCCTAACTCTATATGAGGTTAGTCAATTTGACCGACCTTGTAACCAAAAAAAATCAAAATAAATCTAAATTAACTTTTTTTTTCTTTCTTGAATGACTTCAAATTGTAACATAAAACTACATTCGTTTAACATAAGTAGCTTTAAAGTCTTAATGCTATACATCTATTTATAACTAAATGTTATCGTTTTTTGTCTAACTACTATTCACGGCATTATAAGTTGTAAATCATTTGGGGAACATGGACTTCACGTTACACTATCGAACTACCTTACCCATAAGCTGCTCGCATGTGTGCCCTGTGAAACATTATTATATTATTAATATATATTTTACCTAATCTAACATTAACTAACCTAAAGAGATCCTTATTTTTACATTTTTGTTACTTTTATAATAATAAATAAAGAATAAACATGAAAAACAAGAAATAAAGTACTTACCTGAGTAGTCATTTTGCTTTTTGCTGTTGACTGTCGATGATAATTAACCCTACTTTTTTTTATACTAATGGTATAAAAGCATTAAATAATTTTTATTTAATTAAATAATGCCCCAAAGAACAGAATAATAACATTCAAAAAGCAGACAATTTCCTTTAACTATCACCATTTGTCTGGCTTTCTAACTATGCGACAAGAGCTGTTACAAATTCATCCAAGCTAGTTGTTATCTTTTCTTTGGGAATGAAGTTTGTACTAAAAGATAAATTGACGATTATCTGTTCAGAACACAATATAATATAATACATCATTTGATAGATGAAAACCTTGGCTTTATATTGGTTGTAAATGATATATAATTAAACGTAAGAAAGAACTATTAACAAATTCTAAAAGAGAAGATGTGACAGGTGGGTGTGATTTTCTATTTGATAGCTCTGTAACCAAACAAAATTGAAGGCTATAGAAATTATGGTTTGTCTGAGCAATGGTGATTTTATAGTGAGTAACTTACATTTAATTTTGAAGGTATTGGAAGGGTGATGGATAAAATAGAGAAGATGGGATACCTACAGAAAATGTGTCACCTTTCTCACACTAGGGAAAATTCTGGATTTTTTTAAATATTGCATTATAAAATTAAGAACTTAAAACTTATATACTATTAAAATATGGATTATTAGCTAAAATTTTATGCTATACTAATTGGTATATCATAAACAAAGTAATTTTATAAAATTTTGAATGTAAGACACTAAAACCTTGTGATATGCACAGTAAAGGATACATGTGGCAATAGGGTTAATCTATTATAATGCGATGTGTTTGGATATTCCAGACAAACTAGACTTACCTTCAAGCTCTCTGGGGAGCGTGACCTCACAGAAGCGTCAACAAATCTCCCGAGGGTAAAGATTTTCTTCCTCTCTGTATCAATACACATTTTGTGGCATGATCTTGCACTAGGGCCATCCTGTAATTAGTTATTATCATTTATTAACAACTATTAATTAAACCTTCAATTAAACAATCAACTCATTCTGCAGCTTATAATGTTGTTCAGGTAGACAGTCTTTAACTGTGCCTTATTGTTACTCACTGTACAAGTACGTGCGTGAAGAGATGAAGATTTAAACAAAACATTAACACGGGATTCTCAAGGCTTATAAAAAACAAAGTATACTGTTTGCTTTATAACTTGTTCTTGTTTAATAATTACAGGTCACTTTCATGGGGTTATGACAACATGATATTTAATGCAATATGCCTCTAACTATAGAAAAACCAACTATATTTAGTTAAACAACTTAAAAACTAGTTACCATTAGGACTGATAGAAAACATTTATATACATAACAATTATGATTTTTCCTAGTGAAAAGTTTGGGGGTTGACAGCACCGACACTGTAAGTCTGTATACAATGATAACAGGAATTCTAAATAGCAGATTCTAATCAAGCTTCACAGGGAACTTCTCTTGGATATGAGGAAAAACCCTATTGACCCTGGTGGGTCAAATCTTAGTCATCATTTCAAGTAATATAAATTTTGTTTCTATACAAAATAAAGTATAACCATACACACAGAAATAAACTATATTTATCAACCAGAAAAAACAGGTAATGGTCAGGAGGATTATTCACTCTACTGATGAGTATAAGTACTTTAGGTAAAGATCCAAGCTACTTATAGCATTCAACATCAATTAAACATGAACTCATTCTGAATAAATAAACCCACATTATCTACTGTTTTATTTCTTAAATCAATTTCATATTACAAGATAAATTTGGAAATTTTTTTTTCATAAAACTACTGAGCTCTTTCTGCCTTTCCAATTCATGAAAAATAGTAAGCTAACTAAGTACTTGCAGTAGGGTTGTGGTGACCAAACGTCGACTGTTGTCGTGGTTATGAGTCTATACAATAAAGTCTAATTATTAATCACTTACATTTTTTTACTAAATAATTACTAATTAATTTAGATTCTATATATTGGTTGCTAATATTGTGCCATCTTTAGGGAAATCCCGAGTACTAACGTTTCTGTAGTTAGGCCTTCTTGTTAGAAAGGCAGGTGTTTAATCTAGTAATTAATTAATAATTAGATTTAGGTGATCGTACAGGCTGTTAAACTGTCAACAACTAAACCTACTATCAGAACACAAGTTTAAAAAGTTAAAACCTCCTACTTATCTAAGATTAGTTAACAAGGAATAGTTAATCTTCCAAAAGGATCATGATTTTTAAAGTTAACAAGGAATGGTTAATCTTCCAAAAGGACCAAGATTTCTCAAGTTAACAAGGAATGGTTAATCTTCCAAAAGGACCAAGATTTTTCAAGTTAACAAGGAATGTTTAATCTTCCAAAAGGACCAAGATTTTTCAAGTTAACAAGGAATAATCTTCCAAAAGGACCAAGATTTTTCAAGTTAACAAGGAATGTTTAATCTTCCAAAAGGACCAAGATTTTTCAAGTTAACAAGGAATGTTTAATCTTCCAAAAGGACCAAGATTTTTCAAGTTAACAAGGAATGGTTAATCTCCCAAAAGGACCAAGGTTTTTCACACGGACACATGATCTCAGAGGGTAGGAATAAAGTTCAGGCTTAGTAAAACAGTTCAGAAAATAAAAAATCTGACAGCTCTGAATCTAATTTAAGCTGCCTTCAAACATATATGAAAAAGATGTTTTATATTATTGAATCTTAGAATTTAGAAATTTATAAAATGCTATATAGAAACTAGTCTTATTCTGACAATTAGAAGTACATACGTTTTTAATATTAATTTACAAATATTTACAATATTATTAGATTTTACACATGGTAATTCAGACCTTGATACTATACATATTGCTAGATAGACACACACAGAAAGATTTGTAAAGTAAATTTACCAGTAATCGAACCATTTTTTGTTGTTTATAAAATATTGATAGATCTTGGTGTAAAAAATAATGATTACACTTTTACTACATTCGTTTAAACCTCATGTAACTGAAGTTTTATTAACTTTTGCTTATTTTGACTGTTCCAACTAAGTAAAATTCAACTTAACTATGATAGATGTGTCAATTATAAATTATCACTGTAACACCATAAGAACAACTTAACTATGACAGATGTGTCAATTAAACATCATCACTGTAACACCATAAGAACAACTTAACTATGATAGATGTGTCAATTAAACATCATCACTGTAACACCATAAGAACAACTTAACTATGATAGATGTGTCAATTATAAATTATCACTGTAACACCATAAGAAAAACTTAACTATGACAGATGTATCAATTAAACATCATCACTGTAACACCATAAGAAAAACTTAACTATGACAGATGTGTCAATTAAACATCATCACTGTAACACCATAAGAAAAACTTAACTATGACAGATGTGTCTTGACACATCTATCATAGTTAAGTTTTTCTTATGGTGTTACAGTGATGATGTATAATTGACACATCTATCATAGTTAAGTTGTTCTTATGGTGTTACAGTGATGATTTATAATTGACACATCTGTCATAGTTAAGTTTTTCTTATGGTGTTACAGTGATGATGTATAATTTTAAACATCATCACTGTAACACCATAAGAAAAACTTAACTATGACAGATGTATCAATTATAAATTATCACACTTTTCACCACCCGTACAAACAAATATGGTGTTCTGATTTTGTAAGAAAGACTAGAAGAAAAGAAACATTAATTTTTTAGTGCCTTCCTTTAGAAACTCTTACCTCACAGCTTGTGTCCTGCGAAAGGCACGTCCACTGATTTGAAGGTATGTGATACGCCCACAAATCTGACAGATCTTGCATCCCATCCCAGCCTCCAAACAAATAGATTATTTCTAGAGAGGAACCACAACACATGCACTTCAAACAAGTTAGACATACAATGTATTACTGACAACAGTTTCAGTACCCTAGCTTACATTTCACACAAAAACTTTTCACAAGTAGAAATATACACAGTTTTTGCACCCAAGCCCGTCAAATATTAGCTTACAAGGTGATACAAAATTCTTGGTAGCAAATAAGTTGAGTGTTTTTTTTTGTTACAATGAAATCAATTTCAAATACACTTCAGACCTTTTAATTATCAAGTTTAAGAATTAGCATTTAAATGTCATTTTCAACATGAGATATTCCACACCGTGCCGATTATTTTATGTTTTTAATGATAAAAACAAAGTTTATCCAAAACAATTAAGTAGTTTTTCTGTTACAATTTATCAAAATAAAAATTACCAATTGCTCCTGGAAGCATATTAAACTCTCTAATGTTAGAGTTAATTTTTTATGTATACTTAATACCCAGAACTTAACACTCTTGTTACAAGCTCAATCAAATCAGCTGAGTTCATGACCCTAAATTGACCTTTAGTTTCCATACTATAACTTATAATGTATTTTGTGCATCTTCAATTTTGTTTGGTTACAGAGCTATCAAATAGAAAATCAGGCCCCTCCTACCAAACCTACCCGTTACATCCTGTCTTTGAGGATTTATTAATAGTTCTCTCTTATGTTTAATTCTACATCATTTATAACCAAAGAATGCCAAGGTTTTTATCTATCAAGTGAAGTGTTATATTAGATTGTGTTCTGAACAGAACATTGTCTATTTCACTTTTAGTACAAGCTTCATTCCCAAGGAAAAGATAACTAACTTGGATGAATTTGTAACGACTCTTGTCACACAGTTAGAAAGCCAGAAAAATTGTGAGAGTTAGAGAAAATTGTCTGCTTTTTGAATGTTATTATCCTATGTTCTTTGGTGCATTATTCAATTAACTCTCTCAACAAGGCTTGGTCAATCTGACCAACAACGTGACCTCTTTGTACTTGTTTAAAGTCTTTATAAATTTAATACTACTAATTTTCAATATAGTGTGTAGATCTTCACAAAAGTTAGCAGTTTTTCAGTAACCATTATGTCTTTCACACACAAAAAGTCATATTGTTAGTGAAGTATGTTAAATAAACTAAAAGAGATTTCTCCGTGAATATATCGAGTATTGTTTTTAATAG